TTGAAATGGGTCTGTTGCAGCTTTGGCCAACTAAGGTGAGATGCTGACTGTGATGCATGACTTGACAGTTTCCTCATCCCTCAAATCTATTGTTTTAAATCGACTGCGCTTTCACACGATTCAATTATACAGTCAATATTGCAGGGCTGGCTTTCTACTGCAAAATATTTGACGATATGAGAACCTTGTGTGACCCATTTATTTTGATTTGGGAAAACAATTGTATCTCATCCCTAATGTTTGTTGTGGGCAGGGTTCATAAATCACTCCACCAGCTGCTTGCAAATGTATGATAGGTGCTGTGAATTCAGCACTATCAAAAGAGAAAATTAACATAGATTATGTCATGTATTTATCAGCCATATGTCTAAAGTGAAGCAGTGTCACAGGTTCATTTCTGATATTTCTGCTAGTAGTTGGAGCTGAAAGTTGACCTCTCCTTTACCGAATAAAGTTTCTAATCAGACTCTTTTTTTTTTTTTTCAAAAAATCTTTGAAGTGATTTTTTTTCTCAAAAGAGGAAAATACTGTCACTCACTGTACGTTTTATGCAAAACAGGAGAGAATAAGGTCACGAGCTTTAACATTGAAGATAGATCAAACCTCCTTGTGTTACCAATGCACTGCCTGCTATTTTATTGCACTGTTGTCTTTTCTGCCCATGAAAAAGAATTATAAAAAGACCTCCACCCATATGAGAGAGAGAGAAGGAGAGAGAGCATGAGTGTAAGGGAAAAAGTGAGAAAGTACAGAGAGATAGTGTTTATTGCTTGTGTGATCAGTGTAGTTCTATTTTATGGTGGATTTTCCCTTTAACATTCTGAGAATATCATTCATTGTGTCTGCCCTACCTTTCGCTTATGACAAAAGTTGCTCTCATCCAGCATCACAAACTCCCTGCGACTTCCAACAACCTGGCCCTTCCTTCTAGCATATGATGCCATTGAGCTTATGCATAAGCTTCTTATTTTCTGGGCCATCTTCGAGAGAGTTCGAGAGCTTCCAGCAACCCCATCCTCTATCATATCAATTTGGCGTAATTGGAGCCCCTGTGTGAACCTGTATTTCAGTGAAAGGGAGACAAATTTCCTAGTTCAGTACACTGACAATGAAGATTTGGCAACGTAGTGAAGCCAGACTCTGCTACAACATTCATACATGCATTTATCAGCAACTGGAGGGACTTGCTGTCAGTTAGCTATTGTAGGCTGACCCTATGGTTTTGTTAAAAATAAACTATCCAAATTAGATGTGATATGTATATCCTAGAAAGT